CCTTAATAGATACAATTACAAATTGTACAATACAAATGCATGTATGCCATTCATCAAATACCAATTCATTTGAAGGTTGTGGTCCATTGTTGAATTGATCTGAAATAAACGGTCACCAGTGTAAATAAAGAAACTGTAGATCACTACAGAAGCTCCATTGTTTTATCAAGCAACAGTTTTCCTCAATATTTTTGTATTTGATTTAGCTTTTGTTTTATAGGTATGTGACACTGTCAGGACATTAATCAGCTTTAACCCTGATATAACACATACTACTAACTTAGGGTGCAATTAACAATTTGTTATTCTGTGCATTAATCTATTTGAAATGCAAGTTTTTTGATAGGAACTCTCTTTTTTAATGTGACTGAATAGTATAACAAAGAGAATCTAATTGAATCTGGTTTAAAAAAAACAAACACTGTAGATCATCAATTATTAGACTTTAGATCAACCAATCGATCACACACACACACACACTAACTGCAGGATTTATTTACACAGTGTATTCACCTGCTCGTACTCCTGTTAACAGCACTGAAATGAAATGTGTTTGATACCTACAATAAAGACAAGAGCACTTTGGGCAACCCTGTCAGTCAGATGACAAATGTTGGTTATGGCCATGAATGACAAAACAGGGCCTGACGTCCCCGCAGCAGCTCCATCTATTATCCACATGGCCCTAAAATAACGACACCTTGTATTAGGGCTGAGAGAGTCCTTCCTAAATAGTCATACTAATGAATGAACTCAATTGCCAGACAAATTAAGGTTACATTTGACTTGATCCTTATTTTACAGATTTCGATAATTATCGGGATCACCCCAAAGTCTCATTACCGCCCTAATGAGGCGCTGCTACTCCGTGACATCTACCCCGCTCCATCTCGTTAAGGAAATCGCTCTTCAATGCTGATTATTTTATTTGGAGGTATAATTATATTTCTTTCGGATAAATCACGGCCTAATCGAGTCCGTACAGAGGGCAGCAGTGCTAATTGAGGCATGAGATGCGGCGGTGGTGCGCTGCACCTGGGTTTATGTGACCAGAGGACCCGTGCAGGCTGCTGGCTGCTCTGTAAACACGTAGAGGCTGGATAAGAAGTATCCACATCCTGTACAGAGACATACGACTGTGTACAAATACTCTGTTACAAGCCCTTTACACTCTTACCTCAGTGAAAGGAAGTATCATTAACAAAATGTGGACCATGTAACAGTAAAGGAGCTCATTAGGCAGCACAGTGTTCCCTGGAAAGTGTTATTTATCATGTGATTTTAATTTTTTTTATTGCATGCATGTGGAAGCAGGATTTTATTGAATATTTTGGCAGAGTTGAACTGTTTTGGGTCCTTTTATCTATTGAAATCCATATTTTAAAAACTGTGAATACCACAATATTATTTAAGAATAACTCCAAAATAAAGTAGAACTTATGTTGAGGTTGATGTGATATTTTTCCTGTGCAGCAGCTCAGCCACCAGCTAAACCAAAATCTCATTTTCTTAAAAATCCTTGATTATAATGATCAATGAAAACTAACATTAGGCCAGCTAATATTACATTGAAATCAATGTATATGACCCTGGAGCAAACTAACCTGCCCTTTCCAATATAATAGTGACCTGAGCTGTGGAAAATAATTCATACTTTCAAATACAAATACTGCTGTTAGTGAAGTCCAGTCTTGTGCGTCAAACATCAAGTAAATCTTAGTACTTTTTTACTCCATCACTTTGTTTTTGAAACTTGGTTATTGAGCATATGTTATAAAATGGCTGCAGATCAAACCACCAAACTGGGACCTGGATTTAGCCTCACAGCAGCCAGCTTCAATGCTAACATGCTGCAGAAAATGAATAACTAATACACATAATGTATATTTAATGTCACACTGACTAAGGCCATGGGTAATTTTACTTATTTAAAATTTTGAGTAGGGAGTGTTATAAGATAGAATGTGAGAACATCTATTGGTTTTGCTGATCGTGTAAATATTGTTTTTAGGTTTACTGAGATAATTTATATGAACAATGATTTATAGGGATATAGCCCAACATTCATATAGCAGCACAGTTGGGGATGATGCTGCGTTTGCCGCAAACGTAGCCCGTTTCAAACTTTTGCCGCAGACTGTGCGCATAGAGAGGAAGAGAGAGAGAGAAAGTGTGTGTGTGTGTGTGTGTGTGTGTGTGTGTGTGTGTGTGTGTGTGTGTGTGTGTGTGTGTGTGTGTGTGNCATTATTCATGGTGTGTGGGGATGGTAAAACCCACATTACACATTCTAGTGGAATAAACACACACACACACAGCTGTCATTTTGTGTGTTTGTATATGCTCATTTGTTTGTTGAACAAAGACTCAACTCAAAGGCTTAATTTGTGTGTGTGTGTGTGTGTGTGTGTGTGTGTGTGTGTGTGTGTTTGATGTTTTTAAAAGGAACCTGAGTTCAGCCGGCGAGGAGGCCAGAAAACAGATGCGTATTTGTGAGGGTCTGGTTGACTCACTGCTCTACGTCATCAAAGCCTGTGTAAACACCTCTGACTTCGACAGCAAGGTACGCACCCACTCAGGCTCCAGCACAAACACACACACTCAGCCGAGAGGAAAACATGCTGCCACATGATAAGAGGCTCTGGGGAATAATCCTACTTACCCCTGTTTGAATCATTTTATTGCCTGAGTCTAAATGACCCTCACCGCAGCCAACAGCAACGGTTTCATGGGATTTTTGCACCCGATGCACGAGACATGCTTGCACAATGTTGGACTTTCAGAATCCAATCCAGACGACTAGCTCACTGACCTGTTAAACTCTATATTTACATTTGTCTTCCGTGGTAGCAGTAGAAAGGAAATCAGATCTCGCAGATATGCATCTGTGCTCATTGCACTGTGGAGATCATCTCCCGTGGGAACTGAGGCCATTCATTTTGTCAAACGTATATATCATCATTGACATTCTGTGAGGCAAAGCCTGTACAGAGCTCAAACAGCGTTGAATTAAATCCATTTGCTCTGGTCCAGATATTCTTTTGAACTTAAAGCTCTTGGGTAACATATCTAATTGATTTGGAACGCAGCGAACAGCTGGTCTGTGTACCACCGAAACTCCTCTCTCCCTTTCTCCATCCTCCTGCCCTCAGATTGTGGAGAACTGTATTTGCACTCTAAGGAACTTGTCGTATCGTCTGGAGCTGGAGATGCCGCCGTCCCGGCTGATCGGGGGGCAGGAGCTGGATGGCTTACTGGGCAACGAGTCGCCCTGTAAAGAGATGGACTCCAGCTGCTGGGGCAGGAAGAAGAAGAAGAAGAAAAAGAGCTTGCAGGAAGACTCGGTGAGTGAGGTGCTTTTTAATAGAGTATTAACACAGGCAGAAAGTTCACACTGTTCATATTTAATCAATGCGTACGTCAAGGTCAGTGGAACTTCTTCTGTTCCTCTGCGACAGCCCAGCTGGAGGCATTAGCTTTCAGATTTGGTGCAAAGGTTACTTGGACTCAAGGATGAACAGATTAGATTTTGATCATCTAAGGTTAAAGGTCAGGGTCATGGTGACCTCCTTGTTTTTGAATGTTATTCGTCCGGAGGGAATTTCCTCACATTTCACACAGATGTTCTCTTACACTCAAAAATGAGCTGATTTTGGTCAAAGGTAAAGATCACAGATGTTTTTTGGCCAAAACTCAAGAAATCACATTCTCATTTAACCAAAATACACTTCATTCTAAATATCTCGACAAATATATGATCATCTCTGTTTGTCTACCACACGAGCACTCTTTCGATTTTGGTTGTTTGCAAACATAAAATATGGAAACACAAGAGCAACTACTATAATTTTCCGCATCATCATTAATTCAAATAACCGATTGTTTAAATTGTCACTAATCTAGTTTCTAGGCTTTATCCCCCCGATAATATCCAATACCCTGATCTGATTCAACAACACATACAGTTCCAGTTTTAAACCGTTAAGTCTATACCTCTAAAAAAAAGAGCCGTGACAGGGCAGAGGACACGAAATATCTCCAGTGGCGCATCTTCTCCTTTTCCTCTCTTGAAGAAAGACGCAGACATCAGCGCAAAGACGAGATCTCCTCATCCTGCGACGCGTCCGGAACAAACGCCCGCACACGACTCCACTCCCGTGCATCCCTCCATCTATCCCTCCCTCCCTCCCTGTCCTGTCTGTGCCACCAGATTGCAGACAAATAAAAAGATGAGCAGAGGCAATTGGAGCCTGGATGGATGGAGAAAAGAGACCAAACGAGCACCGGGTTCACGCTCGGACGCATCCTTTGTGCCACTTCTTTTTTTTCCCCCAAGCACATAATAAATTAACGTGACATCTGTCAGATTTATTTTTGTCCTTAAATATTTGGCACATTGTTTTTTCAGTGAAAATACTTTTTACGTTTCATCGTCCCACTGGAAAATAAAAAAAAAAACTCACTTCAGACAGTTTATTATGAAACAATGCGCATAAATCCCTTTTCCAAGTGTCTCCACGTGATTACGCGTTTATCTTTTCAGGTGCCATCTCATCACAGTAACTGTGTCCTCTTATCAAAGCCATGAGTCCACAGCTCATGTCCAACTCCCTCCACTTTCCGCCGAATTAATCTGCTCACACATCATTTACACCGAGGCCCTCCCCTCCTGACAGTGGGCCCTAAATACTAGTAAATTACCACTAATTTATACTGATCTCGCTCTGATATTTGCAATAAAGGCGCAAAGATTTGGCACTGATTACATAAAAGCCTAATGGCCTTGAAAATGAGCCGTGGTTAGAATTAGGTATAAAGTTTGTTGTCTGGCTGCACTGGTGGATTTAAGCTGGTCTCCAGGAGCCATTTAGAGTCGTGAGGAGGTCAAGGAGACTAAAATATTAGAGTAATGATAAAAATAATTAATGCAAGTTGGAGCTTGTATTCAAGGTGTTACATGGAGTGTGATATCCACAGTGTGCTGTCTGTCCATGCTGTGCCTATAGTCATCATATGAATAAATCCCAATTCTTGCGCGCACGCAGGCCGCAGAGCAGCACGCACAATTAAACAAATATTGTGGTGATCCAACATTTCTCGAACGGGTCGAAGCCCTCACACAGATATTAGATCGGGTTATTTTATTGGATGTAATTTGGAGGAGAAATCAAAGCCAATTACAGGAATGAGGAGGAATGAACTTGTGGATGTGAGAGGATGGAGGGGAGGAGGAGGGGAGGAGGAGGGAGGGAGGAGGGATGGGGGACGCTGGGGTCTCGGGCTGAGGCTGACATACCTCAGGCTTCAGCTCTGATTGGTCCTCGTTTGGAGCAGCTCATGGGTTCATTCCGCCGTTAAGCGCCTCCCCGTTCCTCTAAACTACATTATAATGCAACCAACCTCCCTTTTAACCACAAACCGAATTTGCTTTCATTTAGGCGATATATATTTCTTAAATAGGTTAAAGTCATAGAGATTTTTTTTTGTTGTTGGTGGGAATAGCATTTCGCCCTGGAGCGGTGCGCAATGCTATCTCATGCCGACCTCCTGGATGCTCGCCTCGGTGAGTTATCATCACCAAACTCCGGTCTTCAACTCTACTGTAAGCTGGAGGCACTTTTAATCTTAAATCAAGCTCAGAAAATTGTCAATTTGCTTCTTACATCATCTTAATGTGGCTGAAGTGAACTAAACTCGCTTAATTCATTGGAAAAGTAATTATTATTATTATCATATTACTGCGTAATTTGATTTAACCATTTTCTGAGATATCGGTGTGAACGAATTGAATTAAGAGTATTTAAGGAGCAGATTGTAATGTGTGCATGCTGTAGTTGTCTCTGTCAATAAGCTGCGATCATATGCTTTTTTTATCCCTGCTTTTGTGTTTCATTTTTAAACCTGGATGCTTTAATGCATGTGCAGCATCATTTTCTACTGGCACAGAAAATTTGCTTCAACTATTCCTGATTTCTTCCATGTATACTGTGTGCAGTTTAAAATGCCTAACCATGTGTCTCCCTCCTGTAGAGAAGGTGTTCACTGTTCAAATCTCACCAGCTCTCCTTGTCTGTGCAGGGATGAAGGATGCCGCGGCGGAGCTCCTGGGCCACAGGGAGGCTCTGAAGTGCAGGCTCGGCGGAGGGGGACCCGACCCCGGCCACTCCGGCGAGCTCGGCCCGGGCCCGGACGGCGTGGAGGGCTCCACGATGCTCCCCGGTGATGATATCAGCGGCGGCGGAGGAGGATCCAACCCGGTGCAGGTGAATAACAAAGAGCAGGACAAGCAGCAGCAGCAGCAACAGCAGCAGAACAGCAACAATCCGAACCAGTCCGGAGGACAGCAGTCCCAGAAACAGAAGCGGCACCGGACCCGCTTCACCCCGGCGCAGCTCAACGAGCTGGAGAGGAGCTTCGCCAAAACGCACTACCCAGACATCTTCATGCGGGAGGAGCTGGCTCTGAGGATCGGTCTGACGGAGTCCAGAGTGCAGGTAGGACGCCTGGAGGCACAGCCTGTAGTTTTAATTCATTCCTAAACAGTGGGTCATTTTGAAAGGTTAAAACAAAACACAAAACGACAAACAATGACCCATGTTGCGCTTCACATGTGCGTAAAGCTGCAACAAACTGCATGTGCAGGACAGAATTAATTCACATGTGAATTATTAAATACAAAATATAAAGAAACATTAGACTTTTATTACAATTAAGTCTCCACCAGCTCAAAAAATAAAACCAAATCTGATCAGTGTTGCCAAGAGCCATGACAGTAACGAACATGCAGGAACCAGATTATAAATGAAATGAAATTCTCCTAACATCAGATTTTTAATCTCCATTTGTGACTGAACAATTCCAGTTTATTGTGTTCAATCTTTGGATTGCAGGAGATGTGTGAAATTAATTTCGATATATTATTTCTAAAGCGTAATCGAAAGAAAAGTCCCTTCAACTTATATTCAAATGCATTTTCTTGAACAAAACTGCATTTTTCAGGGATCAAAAAAGTTTCTGACCCCAACAGTCTGTATTCTGGAGAAACTGAAACTAATTCCCTTTCTAAAATGTTCAATTATCTGATATTGGTAAATAGTTTTTATTTCAATCATATCCCCAAATAACAAAAGCACTTCTTATTTTTCATCGTAATTTAAATTTCTGTTACACTAAAATAATTATTATCTACAGTAAAATACTAAGCAAGATACACATTATAATGGTTTCACTATATAAATTAAATGTATTTTATTATTCACAAACAGCTGGAACAAGTGTAATGGTTTTAGGTCACAATATTATAGCTACTGAAAATAAAGACAACAACACACAGGTTGTGTTTTATTTTGGTTCACTGCCTTGCCCAATAGCAGCCCATGCTTGAGAGCCTCTCTCGGATTTGAACCAGCAACCTTGTGTATTATTACTAGACATAACAAGCCTGACACAAGATATTACAGGTTGAGATTATTTTTCATCCGTTCATCTAATTTATTTGAGACCAGTGAATGACAATACAAACATTTTATGATGTAAAACGTATTAATTTTTTTTAATTCATCCAATATTTTAAGTTTATTTGTTTCAGATCCAGTTCTGTGTGTTTTTCTAATGACTAAACCACAGCCTCTTATTTTCTGACTGATTTTTAAAACTGCTCCACATCTTGCGCCCATGTCATTTCCTCTAATTAGAGGGAACCAGATGATGATCTTTATTACACTCGTTTAATCGCCTCAGATAAAACTGTCTCTGGCTGTTATCAACCTTAACATACATTTAACCTTGTGGTCATGAGTGCAAGTCAGCACCGTGACTACATCCCATAATACTGTGCGTTATCTTTGGTGTCTTCCAGTTTGCACACTGTAAAAATAATTCCTAAAATATGAGCCACATTATGGAATGATAGCTGCACCGCCTTATTAACCACATGCCACATGCACTGGGGCTGCTCACATGCGAAATAATACCGTAATAACCGTTATTATAAGAGTCACTTCACTTTCTACATACAATTTACATAAAATACGAATTAGTGTAATGACGCTCATCTGTTGTTATTAGAGGGATGAGAAGAAGACGCAGGTCCTGAGTCAGTTTTAGCCAATGCGCCTGTCTCCGCGTCTCCGTGCCGGACGCGCACAGAGCGCGCTCCTGTCTCTATTTTTAAACAGAATGAGAAATTGTGGTTTTCTTTTCTCCTGAAGTGTCATGTTTCTCGGGCCGGGTTTCACGGCTGGCTACGCGAGCTGGAATAAGAGTGAGATTGTCCCTCTCTTATTACCGAGCCCCACTTTTCTCAAGCAAATCTCCACATTAATCATAGACGCCCGCTCACAAGCAAAACCAGCAGCACTTCAAGGACCCGGGCGAATAAAGTCCGTTCTCCAGCGAGGGCCATTTGTCACAGCGATAAGATTATCTTTATTATCTGACTGCCTGCTCCTTCACTGGCTCCCAGCTAACCTGCAAAACCACTGAGGAGCGGACACATGATCTTATACAAATAGAAATATGAGTTTTGCACCCTAAAAAAAATGTAACCGTTATCAATTAAAAGAAAAACAACTCACCATCTCTTCCAATATTGCACACGAATATTAATGTGGCATGTATTTTTAAAAAATAATTATCATTTACAAAATCACAAAAGTTCTAAAATTCTACAAATGCTACATTAAAAAAATAATATTTATTGAGAGTTAAAATCTGTTTGAACAAAATCTGACCATTTTTGGAGCAATAACCAATTAATTGAGTTCATTTTAAAAATTATTTATATTTGTATTGTTGATGGGGAACATTTAGAGACCTGAGCAGTGATGGCACCTCTGGCTCCTTGATGTAAACTGATGGGACCCTGGAAAAAAACACCTAAACATAAATCTGTGTGTTCCAGGAGCTGATTTATTGTCGGTTGTTCACATTATCATGATGATCACGGGCTGATGTCATAACCTCCTTTATGCTCTGATAACATGACCTGTCAGTGGCCCAGCAGCCATCACAGCCGCCTCCTCTGACCGTGTCCTCCTCTCTGTCCGCAGGTCTGGTTTCAGAACCGACGCGCCAAGTGGAAGAAGCGCAAGAAGACCACCAACGTGTTCCGCTCTCCGGGCACTCTCCTGCCGACGCACCACGGCCTGCCCCAGTTCCCGTCCGCAGCGGCGGCGGCAGCGGCCATGGGCGACAGCCTCTGCTCCTTCCACGCCAACGACACCC